TATATATATACTTTTTTGTTTTTGAATTAAAGCAGAGAGAGTTGTGTAACGTAAGTTGATAATCATGAACAGGCGTCAGCAGCAGGAAATGATGCACACTGAAATATTTTCATAGCCTATATTCCTCATCCTCTGGGAAAGTCACATGCACACGGATGCATTAGCAGCCGCGCAGCTGGTGTGTATTGATTAAGAGAGGAACACAGAAAGCCATGGCTATCAAGTGAAACCTTTAGTGTAGCACTTTAAAGCATAGATTGAATTAACACCCTGCAGACAGATACATCTGCACACTTACACTGTACTATTACTGTCACCAAAAAAAATTATTCATCTCATTAAAACACTGCTGTGCTAGCAACTTTCAACTCACCTAAGCAGTATATATCTAATATACTGTAGATAGATGGGTAGACTGACAAATAGATGACAGACAGACAGACAGACAGACAGACAGACAGGTGGATGGATGGATAGATAGATAGATAGATACTCACTGGAGGTGTGACGTCAACAGTGATGTCATCCGTGTCCACAGGCGAGTCGAGCCACTGTCTTTCATCTGACGACTGACTGTCCGCGTAACTTTTGCTTCTGCTCGACTGAGACAGCTGGTTCCTCGACTTCCTTGAAACACCATCAACATCTGGAGCATCTTCATTCTGCCGCACACATCAGCATCACAGCAGCATCACAGCAGCAAAGAGGCAGAAAATGTCCAAAGCTTTTTGGAAAATTTGGAAACTTTCCATGATTTTTTGGAAAGTTTCAGAAAATATCAGGATTTTTCAGAAACTTTTGGAACATTTCTGGGAATATCCCACCCCTTTGCAACCCTACATCACCATCACATCAGATACACATCAGCCTCATATCACAGCAGCATCACGTCACATCAAGATCACATTAGCCTCACATCAGCATGTACATTTACAGTAAAGCAACACGTCTGTGTTTCTGCACAACCATGATTCTGCCCAGCGGGAAATGCTCCTGGATGAGAGTACATTTTGATGTGGACATTAAAGGCACAATATGTAAGATTTTCATAATAAAATATCCAAAAACCATTTGCACAGTGTTATATATTTCATGCAGTTGTCTACTTACGTTATCCCAAAAGTTCCCAAGGATGTGTAAATCCAAAGAAATTCTGATTTTAAATAATGGCTCGTCCCATTCATTGTCGCCTATCAATGATGTAATATCCTTGTAGAAACTATGGCAACACACGTGTACAAAAATGCTGCAGTACAGTTAAACTAAATCCATCATGGCTGTCGCGAATAAAAGTGTTGACTGCAGCATTAAATTTAGATCTGCTCAATGTTGCACCATGATTCTTTTCCCACCATTTTGTTCAAAGACTAAAAAAGATTTTGATTCAGGTTCACATCCTGCATGGCAAAATCCTGGTCACCCAATTAGATGCTGAGCATGTGAGCACCTTTTCAGAGCTGTATTTCCACAGGTCAACACTGTCCATGCTGTTCTTCTTGGTGAACTTGGGTCTGGCTCCTGTTGCAGAAAACAAGTAAAAGTTGATGACAATTATAATTATTATTAGAATATTATAATGTGTTGTGTAACAAGTAAACAGTGAAATCATACAGACATGCACAAAGTCAGGAGTCACTATATAATGAAATCTGAATTGAAGGGTTGAACACTACTGTCAGGTCGGGGCAAGTTGTCACTTTTATATTGGGGCAACTTGAAATTTTACCCAAATAATTCATTATAATTGCTGTTAGTCTACAAAATGGTTAGATATTGCCGTATGTTAGCTTTCACAGTTTTGCTATTTATGAATTGTTTTGTGTTTCTGCATTGACTGACTGTTTAAACGTCTCTGAAAAGCTCTGTTTCAGTATGTCTTATTTCAAACAAAAGCATTCTTTTAAAATTGATATCAAAAATGAGCAGGTTTCCATTGGGAAAAGACCATATAGTGTTGCTATGGAAGCTTGTTTCTGCCACTGAATAAAAAATGTAAAAAAAAAAAAAAAAAGGTAACTGCGAATTTTGTCTCGCGATTCTTACTTTTTTCTCACAATTGCGAATTTATATCTCGTAATTCTCAGAATTGTTAGATGTAAAGTTCAGTTCTGAGGGGGAAAAAATAAAAGACTTGACTGTTGAGTTTATCTCACAATTCTGACTTTATAAATCGCAATTGCATTATAAACTCAATTGCGAGATATAAACACAATTCTGAGAAAAAAAGTTAGAATTGTGAATTTATATCACACAACTGTGAGAGAAAAGTCAGAATTGTGAAATAAAAATTTGCAACGACCTTTTTTTATTTTTATTCAGTGGCGGAAACAAGCTTCCACACTAGCCCCACCACAGTCTTCTTTTAGTATTGAGATACTATCATAGTTTTTATTTTGAAATTTTATTTTTATTTCTTGGTTTCATTTTAATTTTAGTTTAAGTTTTAGTAGTTTTGCTATGTGTATACTCAGGGATTAAAGTTCCGTCGCTACGACGGATTTCCGTCAGTTCATAAAGACAGTCACTTGCTTCATTCCTGAATGATTCAGCCGTTCGAATTAATCAATTGAATGAATGATTCAGTCATAAAATCAGTGACTTGCCGCCACCTGCTGGTGGATTTAGTTTCATTTTTAGCATATAATTTCAGTTATTTGAATCATATTTCTGTATTCAAAATTTTATATTTAAAACATCAATCTCCACATGAATTTATTAATTTAATTGCACTCATGGTACCTCTGAGCCTCATTAAACGTCTGAAAATGTACCTACAAGCCACTTTTGTGTTCTTCTGTGCCACCTCTGTAGTACAAATTAATTTATTGATACTAATTTCATATGATTGGTAACTGAAATTATACGCTAAAAATGAAACTAAATCTGCCAGCAGGTGACGGCAAGTCACTGATTTTATGACCGAATCATTCATTCAATTGATTCGTTCGAACGGCTGAATCATTCAGGAATGAAGCAAGTGACTGTCTTTATGAACTGACGGAAATCCGTTGTAGCGACGGAACTTTAATCCCTGTATACTGCAGGATGGGTGAAGTGTTTTATATGGTGTGTGTCCTTGTCATCTACAGATACGAATCATCCGAGAGTCTGTTACCCTGCACTTCAAACTCAGATTCAGACGGCGAGAGATCGCCCTCCTTCACCCCGAGAGCCTCCATCAGCTCCTCCACATTCATCCTGGCGATCAGCTCTCCGTTCCTGTCCCCGATCTGAGAAAGCAAAGCACACAGTTACACACAAGCAAAGCACGAGAGCCGCTGCTGGACGTGGAATCAGTCTGGCCTCACCTCTCTGGAGATGTCCAGGTGTTTCCGGGTGTAGTGCAGAGCCTGACGGTGGTTTCCCAACGACACGTAAGCGTTGCCCAGACTCCAGCAGGCCCGGCCCTCCCCGACCCTACCAGACCCACAGAACACGTTACTAGTTAAGAGTCGCGCTGATGTGAAGGTGAGTCTGTGTTTGTGTGCTTTCATGGTTCACACCTGTCATTGAGCTCCTGAGCGATGAGCAGGTGTTTGAGGTGATAGTCTATGGCGCGTTCATACTCCTGCAGCAGCGTATACGTGTTTCCCAGACTGTAACACGCTTGAGCTTCCATCACCTGATCCTTCAGCTGCCGAGAGAGCTGCAGAGTGTTCCTGGACAACAGAGCAAACCTCTGTGAAAGAAGTCTCTTCTGCTCACCAAGACTGCATTTATTTAATCAAAAATACAGTAAAAATTGTGAAATATTATTAGAATTCAAAATAGCTGTTTTATATGTGAACATGTTTAGAAATGTAATTTATTGCTGTGATCAAAGCTGAATTTTCAGCATCATTACCCCAGTCCCAGTGCCTAGATCCTTCAGAAATCATTCTAATATGCTGATTTGATGCTCAAGAAACATTTCTGGTCAGGATTCACAAATGAATAGACGGTTCAAAAGAACAGCATTTATTTACATTTTTACTGTCACTTTTAAACAATTTATTGCGTCCTTGCTGAATAAAACTAATAATTTCTTAAAAAAAAAAAAAAAAAACCTTTTACTGACCCCAAACTTTTAAAGGGGTCATATGATGCTGCTAAAAAGAACATTATTTTGTGTATTTGGTGTAATGAAATGTGTTCATGCGGTTTAAGGTTAAAAAAACACATTATTTTCCAC